GTAGAATCTTTCTTATATTCCAGGCATTGGTGTATGTAGATAGTTATTTCATATTGAATAGGTGACTTTATACATGTTTGCTGTTGATATTTTTTGCTTTCTGTCATAGGTTTCGCCATACGATCTCTAATTTCCAATATGCGAAGTTTGCAATGTAATCTAGGTGTGTTGCAGTCAATCTCATGAACCAGAACATAGTCGCTTTATAGTAGATAGACTCTACTTTCAGATCTCTAGTTTTCTACATGTATATACATACACACGCGCAAAAATATTATTGTCCTTTAATATTAATGCATTCTAATGAAAAGGTAATTCTGAAGAAAAAAAAAAAAAGACTTACAGTCTATGTATATGAATGAAAGTAAAATATGTACGAAGCTTGAGACTTTAATATAAGGATATATACAGTGTTTTCTGTTTTCTGATGGCGATCAGTATTTAGAATGGAATTGAAACATGCAGCAGTAATTTATGCTCCAAAGTTGTGAAACAATGATAAAGAATTGAAAGTATAATCGACATCCAGATTCAACGAGGATAATGACATCGGGCCCAGGCCAAATGTTACAGCTGAGTAGTTCTTGTATAAATCAAGCAGAGCTTGAAACACCATCTAAATTTCTTCAATGAAACCTGAAAAGTAACTTAGGAAACGAAATGAACCATCTAATCCTTGTTACACCCACTTCATTTGTGGCATATAAAAAAAAGAAAAGAAAAGGCATGAAAAATATGTAATCATGTAACTAGTATTTAATATGATGGAAAATAACTGAATGCATGGTTTTAATTTAAGTAATCATGATATCGTTAAACATCCAACACAATTTTAGTATACTATGGGAAAGAAATTTACAAAGTTTATCAGACTCTTGATTAACTTTCAAACATATAATTAAACATATGAGTTTAAATATATTAAGAAATTTAAAATAACATAAATAACTAAGGCCTCTTAAATTTCAACATTTATATCAGTTACGTGTAAATTTTAAACTAGTATATTACTATAAAAGGACTAACTATTTACCATGCAATATTTGAACCTTACGAATATAAGATTCTTGATAGTGTAATGAATTTGAAACTTGAAGTAAGATCTGAAGTTTACCTTATTTACTCAAGATTCTTAATTTCAAGTTAATAATATATCAGTTTCAGGTTGCTTATTATCGCTTACTTTACTCTATCTGAAGGATTTAAAAGTTATTGCAGGTTCTTACATGCAAATATACGACCTATGTAAAGTTAAATTATTCACTTTAGTTCTCGGCTATTCCTTTTTTTTAAAGCCAAATAAAACAATGAGATGCAGACATCTTTCTCTTTCGCCCTCCAAACAGAAAATCCATACCCGTAATCTTGTAAGGAAATCAAGGTTTTATTTGAAAGAAAATCATTGTTCAAACTGGAAAAGGAACATGCCAAAGTAAATTTTATAATTAGGCTAAATAGTGTCTTTGGGTTGGGTGCAGATTTTAAACAAAACTGTATCGATTTCTCGGCGATCAGACATGAGTCCCCCTTCTTCAGGAATAAAATAAATTCCTGTTATTGCTATGATAAGTCGTGTGTAAAAAATTAACATTTTATGAATCTGTTGTGCGTTTAATAGCCTATTCTGTTTTTGCCTCTTTTGAAATATTGCCTCCCAATGAACGAGCTGACTGCTGCTTGTGGTTTTCTACAAGTGTAATGTGAATGGAAACTAGTTCCTCTTGAAAAGTACCCCTCGAGTCTATTCTTCCCAAGGCAGGTAACCTTAGCATACTTTGTGAAGTTGTTCCTTTGCCATATGATCTATTGCAATAACAACAACAGTATATAGGTTGGCCATTATTAAATGGAAAATGTTTAGAACACGGTAATGAATAAGCGTTGAATAATGCTCAATCAAATGCAGTGTGCGCTATTAGTATGAAGTTTCTATATATTATATTATATTTAGAATATGTAGGCCATGTGATAACAGGCCGTAACGCACTGAAATAAAGCAGTTCAAACATGTCCTATAATATTCTGTTCCCAAACTAATTACGACCGCCAACATCTGCCTACACTGTGAACTTTCGTGCGAGTACTTCTGCGAAAAATTCCAGAACTTTGAAGTATTTATTTTGATAAAATAAATTTTTATTAACCTATCACCGGATCTGTGTGCATTCAATCTATTACGAACCCCTACGCACGCAACAATGTAAAACTTTAATAACAAATATTTTAATAACAAAAATATATTTAATAACAATAATTTTAATAATCAAAAATGATGGTAAGCGTATTATAATTTTTCGGCTATCCTCCGACTGGGAAAATAATCAGAAAAAAAAAAAAAAGTTGCAGAAAATAATACGTTGACTTGTGTAACAATGATAAGCATGGAGATGTAATTTCAAAAAAATTAGATCTTCTGTGCTGCATAAATATGGCTGAATAATTTTAGTGACACTAGCAAAATCGAAACTTTGTACATGTATAACTTTAATAACAAATATTTAATACCATAATACTTTATCCATAATACACTAATATTTGTGAAAAATGCAACACCATGAAGAAATTGTCAGAAATGAATGAAATTTATTCATATTTACTGATAACGGTACAAATAAATGATCAAATTTACATGAGCAAAAAAAGAAACAAAAAAAAAAACAAAAAAAAAAAAAAACAGTGTCGTAAATCTGTACTTTGTGTGTCCGCCACGCTGAGGGATGGAAGCCTGTACGCATCGTGGCATTGAATCACACAAATTCTGAATGTAATCCTGGGAAATGACATTCCATATGGCTTCGACTTGACGCCAGAGTTCAGTATTAGTGTGTGCCCCACCAGCTGTACGAGCGAGGTCGCCGATCGATGAAATCCTAGAGATGCTTAATGGGCGACTTATCCGGGGAATAAGCAGGCCATGGAAGAAGCGAAATTTGTGCCTTAAAGAAGGCTTATGCAGTCTGGAAAACATGTGCACGGGCATTATCCTCCCGAAACACAGCATCCAGAATACGTCAAAGAATGGGAAGGACCACTGGTTCCGAAACTTCCCTTATGTAGTGATCGATGTTGAGGTTCCCGCTGTTTGCACTAGATGGGATCGACCAGTTAGACCCAATAACTCCCCCCACCACCCTGATGCTAAACGTTGTGCGGTATGACGCTGGTTAACAAACTGTAGGAGCAGACGTTCCCCTCTGTGACGTCTGACGTATACTCCTCCATCATTTTACTCAAGACTGGTGCGAGATTCATCGGAGAAGGCAACTTGTTGCCATCAGGCACGCCACGCACTGTTTTGGCGTGGCCGCTGAAGTCGGAGGCGCCTGTGATTCAGCGACAAGGAAATCCTGCGTAGAGGAACCCTTACACGCAGTTCATGCTGCAGCAGATGGCGACGAACCGTGAAGTTAGACTGCACAACACCTGTAGCCGTGCCCCAACGTTTTGCCAACACACGAGAGGACGCTGCACGATCCGTCACAGCGATGCGAATGAGTTGTCTGTCGTCCCGTGACATTGTACTTCAACTACAAGAAATATTACTGCAGGTGTCCTTCAAGGCTCCGTTCTCTCTCCTTTTCTTTACAATATTTATGCTCAAGACATTCCAAAAGCATCTCATATTATTATCGCCTTATTTGCCGACGATACCGCTATCTCAAGCTTCAACCATCAATACTGCACAAATTTTTCTACGAAACTATTTGGAGCTTCTTGAAAACTAGATGATTTCTTGAAAATGCTTCTTGAAAACTAGATGATTGTGGAGAATTGCCTTTAACACTGACAAAACCAAAGCCATTATTTTCAGAAAAGGACAAACAGACTTCCTTCCATCTAATCCCATCTTCTTTGACGACGATATTCAGTGGACGGATCAAGTGAAGTATCTAAGAGTCACACTTGACAAAGAAACTCACTTTTCAGCAACATTTACACGAAACTGCCAGGAAATTCAATATCTCAATAGCTACTATACGTCCTCTCCTCGGCAGACATAGCAATCTGACTATCAACAATAAACTTGTTTTATACAAGTCCATCCTTATACCTACTTTACGCCAGTCCGGTATGGGGACACGCCGTTAAAACCCACATAAAAAAGATCCAAGTTATTCAAAATAGAACCCTTCGTGAAATTATTAATATACCCTGCTTCATCCCAAATTCATATATTCACAGAGATCTTCAAATTGATACTATACAAAATTATATCAAAAACCTTGCAACAAATTTTTTCCTTTCTGTACTATTACATCCAAACAGTTGTATCAGTTCTTTGCGATGCTCACCTTTTCCTAGAGAAAAACACAAATATCCTTAGGATATCCGATTTGTGGATTTGTGGAAATATCCTTCGGATATTCTTACCTAACCTTTTGTTAATTATTTGAAGTACTTACTACCTTACTGATCCAAATTTTTTCACATTGCTTGTCTATTTTCATTCATTACATCTTTCTTCGCCGACTGATGGCGGCTAAGTGAAATATCCCATTCTACCATCTCGATTCTTTTTATCATCCTTTTGTTGTTCCAGACATTCGTTTATCTGGTGCAGAATTTTTATGGGTCGCTATTATAGGAATGAATCGGAGTTTCCCGGATTTAATGCACTCCTCATTGAAATTGCGTTCCCGGATATTTATTTACAAATGAATATATTGTAAACTTGAGGTTGTAAGGGATTATATGCTAACGTACATATAAGTTAACTACGTGTTAACCACTATAGATGATTGCTATCTTAAATATCATAAAGAAAACATAAGCGAAAAAAGAAAATCGAAATTTAAGCAAAATTAATATATTTTTACCCTCAGAATGCCAATGTTTTCAATCATAATGGAGATCAGCAAGAAAAATTTAGCTATCTTGTGAGTTACACAAAAAAAAGTTTTCAAGTTACAATTTATCAGTTTTATTGAGAAAAGCATGCTTTTAAAAATATTTTTAAATACACTATTGTTTATTAACTAGCATATTTTTTCCTTTCATAGTTTCAACGGAAGAATGTAAAGGATTTCACGATGTAGTCAATATGAAGGTTGTTGAAACCCTGAAGCTTAAAAATAGATAATCAGATTTTCTTTACTCCTGGGACAGTAATGGATTTATTCTAGTTCCATCAATGCAGGTATGTACTACGTAAAGGTGTTTACATTTCCAGAACATTTGCTGCAATATAAATTATAATCATTTCCTGAACAATAAATTTCTTTTTCACCCATTATCATTTCTGAGCATGAAGCTTTCAATATATTATATTAGGGAGAAAAAAAGAAACGAAATAAGAAACTCAGCTTTTTAAATTCCTTAATATTTTGTAAAGTACTATTAAAATTTACAAAACTGTAATGATTCAGGGTTTTCCCTAATTTTATACTGATGACATTCAACATAATAAAATCTGCCACATAATTATTTACTCAGAAGAATGACATCCTGATATGTGGATTTTAATGCACAATGAGGAAGGCCTAAACTGTAATAATTCATTTGCGCCTACGCGATAAAAAAATACTTAATTTTTAACAAACAAATTTTATAGTTAAATTAGAGAATGTATTTTTATTTACGCCATGTAATATTGTAGAGGTTTTATGTTTTTCTTTAAATATTGTCGTGTAGATGAAGGGATCGTACAAATGAACAGGCAAGTACTGAAGTTTAAACTCAAGACTTTTATTATCTCGAACTGAATGAAGAACTACTAATATACAGCTGGGTGAACATGCTGGAACATTCCAGACGAAATGTTCTTGAAGAATAAGAAGGAAATTTACATAAATAAGATAACATTAACAAGAAGGAAATATACTTAAAACCCAATTATCAGGCATCTTGCCGTTGATGGCTTTCGAACCCGGGACCTTCGGGTCCTGCGTCTTCTCCTCTAAGCTATGAGGAGCTCGGTGGAAACGAGCAATTTTCGCTACATTTCCCCTTCTTAGGAAAAAGCAGCGTCCCGCTGCGATCTGGTCTGGATCTGATCTGGTCTGGTGTAACAGGTTTCCCGGAAATATTGGGCTTTCTTTTCATCGTCTAGTTGTACTTTTGGATCAAGATGGGGCTTCAATCTCAATACGTGAACGATGCATTTTGAATTCCGTCGTTTCCTATTTTGTTCCATACTTTCTACTTCGTACGTCACGTGAGAGAGCTGTCGTGTTGTTCGATATGATCCAAAGTAACGTCTTATTATGTAGATAATCCAACCTTTCGTAGTGGAGTGAAGACCCAGACTAAGTCTCCGATGTTGTAGCTGACAAGTCGATGCCTCTCGTCGTATCGCTGTAGTCTGCGCTTTAAGAATATGGAGTTTTGAAAGCTGTCTAGCTTCTTCAGCTCTAGTGATCAGATGTTGCGCATAACTATCGTCGGAATCTTCGATACTACCTGGAAAAATTGCGTCGAGAGGAGTAAGAACATCTTTGCCATAAATGAGAAAGAATGGGCTGAATCCCATTGTGTCTTGTTTAGCTGAATTATAGGCATAGGTTAGAAATGGTAGAATAGTGTCCTAATTTTTCTGTTCAACGTCTACGTAAATGGACAACATGTCTGCCAGTGTCTTATTGAATCTTTCAGTTAAGCCATTGGTCTGAGGGTGGTATGCAGTCGTCTGAAGATGAGACGTCTTGCATAGATGAATTACTTCTTTAACAACGGTGGATAGGAAGTTACGTCCTCGGTCACTGATCATTTCTTTGGGGGTACCATGCTTCAGCACAATTTCTTCAACTATAAACTTCGCAATTTCGGTGCCCTCAGCTGTCGATATTGCCTTTGTGACTGTAAATCTGGTAAGGTAATCTGTGCACACTATAATCCACCGGTTCCCATTTCGAGTAACAGGAAAGCGTCCAAGTAGATTTATTCCAATTTTGGTAAACGGTGTGTCAGGGGGTTTTATCGGATGAAGCTATCCTGGTGGACTTGTTGCGGCGATTTCCGTCTTTAGCATTCTCGGTAGTGTGATACATACCGCCGTGTGCTTCCATATAGCCCTGGCCAATAGTACTTCCTCGTTATTCGGTCGTACGTTTTGGCAAATCGGAGATGGCCAGCGGTTGAAGCATCATGATGACTTCTTAGAACCTCGCTAGGAAGATGCTTTTGTACCACCAAGAGCCATTGCTGTTCCATAGGCTCATAGCTTCTTTTATACAGTATACCATTTCTTATTTGATAATTTTGATATGCGTCACCTCTCTTGAGAGTTGTAATGATGGATTTTAATCATTTGTCTTTCTGCTGCTTTTTTCCGTAATCTACGATTGCTATAAAGAAAGGGATATCTTTATTGTTCTCAATTATTGGTTCTATAAGAGTATCTTCTTTGATAGTGAATTTGCATCCGGAGTGTTTGCGACCGCTCTTGTAGACGATATTTATGTCGTATTCCTGCAACCTGAGAGGCCACCGTGCAAGTGGTCAGGCTGCACGGTGGTAAAGTGATCTTCCGGATGGATCCTTAACATTGGCCAACCAACGTAAAGAGTGGTGATCTGTGACTACCGTGAAGGTAGAACTACCGTTTTCCGTAGAGGTATGGTCTGAATTTACTAATTGCCCAATTTTATTGGATTTATTAATTACATTAGTAAAATTGATTAAATTGAATTTACTAATTACATTTTACTAATTGCCCAATTTTATTGGATTTATTAATTATATTAGTAAAATTGATTAAATTGAATTTACTAATTACATTTTCAGATGACGGCTAGGCATTCTTTTTCGGTGGTGGAATAGTTCCTTTCAGCTGCAGTAAGGGATCTGGATGCATAGGCTATTGGGTTTTTTTGCCATCGTGGATCTGAACTAGTACTGCACCGATGCCATAGCCGCTAGCGTCAGAATGTATCTGGTCTTGGATTAAGTCTAGGGATAAAATGTCCCATACGTGAACAGATGTCTACTTGAATTCAGGTCAGCCTTCTTCAGCGTTGTAAAAGACTTTCAATCTACGTAACGCCACTTACACAGAAAATGTTGTATCTATCTTCGATACAAGTCCAAAGTAGGGGCTTTGCGAGCTATCCGCGAAATTTTTGATACCCAATCGTTTCGGTAGTAGGAGCACAAGACCCAGAAAAAACTTCGGACATCGTAGCGATATTTTTCGGAATATGGTAACTTTCGTTATCAAGCCTCTGCCTTTTGTGGATCGGGATATATCCCATGTTGATCGACTAAGTGTCCCAGTATAGTCAGCTTCTTTTTGCCGAAATGAACATTTCTTGGAATTTAGCGTCAGTCCTGCTGTTTGGACACATTTCAGTATTTCCCTCAAACGCTTTTAACGTTCTTTGAAGTTAGGTGCGTACACGATTATGTAGTCGAGGTAGCAAAGGCAAATATTCCATTTGAGACCTCTTAGTACCATATCCATCATCCGTTAAAATGTGGCTAGAGCATTGCATAATCCGAACGGCATGACTTTAAATTCAAAGAAACCATCTGAAGTCACAAAAGCTGTCTTTTCTCTGTCTCTATTTCTCTGTCTCATCAATTTCTATTTGCCAGTAGCCTGACTTCAGATCCATCATAGAGAAAATTTTTGCACCAACCAGGCAGTCCAAAGCATCATCGATGCGAGGTAACGGATAGACGTCCTTTTTAGTTACCTTGCAATTTTTCAATTACAAAAACGGCCCGCCAGCGGCCGAGCGGTAAAGTCGCTGAACACTGGTAGTTCGGTCTGAGGTTCGAATCCCGCGAACGGGCTGGCTGCATGGGCGTTTTCGTGGTTTTCCCCATGTGTAACGTGTATACGAGCCAGTTTCCCTTAGAAAGTCCTCCACGAAGGCATCCCTCCCCTTAGGCAGATAGCCCTCGTGTGCTTTGCCATAATTAAATACACACACATTAAATACACACAATTACAAAAACGCCATTCACCGTTTTTCTTCTTCACAAGCACGACTGGAGAGGACCATGGACTGTCTGATGGCTGTATCACGTCTTCTTTTAGCATTCGTTGCACTTCGTCTGCAATCAGTGGCTGACACACGCTATGGCCTTTGTTTGATTGGTACACTGTCAGCCGTATCAATCTTGTGCTTTACCGCATTGCATCGGGATTTTTTTTTCGCAATACCATTAAAGTAAAAAATGTCACTAAATTCATCTAGTAGACTCAATAGCTCGTCTTTCTCAGCATTGGTCAAATCAGTATCGAAAATTTATTTTAAGTTTTCTTGAGATAACTTTTTCCTGGACTTGTGTCCCTTGGAACCTTCTGGAGCCTGACCACTTAGGGAGCAAATAGCGTCGTTTTTTATGGTCGTTAAACAGCCTAGATTCATCCCTTTCGGTATCAGTTGGGTTCGGCGAGAACAATTACTTACCCATAATTTATACAACCATCCTCTAACGTGACAATTGAAGTTGGCATCGATAGTTCTTTTTCGCACATCAAATATCTATTTCCAACAATCATAGCTCCATCCGCTTCCGGTAGTTCTGAATTAAGAGCACATATTCGCCTTGTGGTGTTTGCTTCAATTACATAATCGGTTGCGGCAAACAAGGAGGGCTCTGACTTATTTAAATATTCATTGTCTGGAAGGATTTCTGCAAGTGTAATCTAAGCTATGAGGAGCTCGGTCGAAAAGAGCAATTTTCGCTACAATATATATGCAGTGAATTCCTTGGTTCACGAATTGAAGTCATTCCTGAAGGTCGTTTGTCCACTGAAATGTTTGTAAGTCGAAAAAAAATTGTCCAATATGAATTAATGTACAATGAATTAATTTGTTCTAGGATCACTCATAATTGCCCATTTAAACTTTATGGCAATACTTTGTGCATGAGTTCATAATAATCCCAATGGAAATCATTAAAATTAAATAAGAAAGATAAAAGCAATATTAAACAAGTAAAACGGAAGAAAACTTGAATTCTCTGTACCTAATCAAAGGACAGTGGACGGCAAAGTGAAAAACGATGGGAGTATTATTTAGATGTGAAACACTCTCCCCCATAAAGAGATCTAGTAATTATCTTTAGGAAGTAGTATCTTCTTTATATTTACTTTCACTATAAGCGCTACTCGACTCTGCCTGAAAATCACTGGGCCTCTTTCACTCAGAATTTGTCGAATGTTATTTCTTGTTGTTTACATTATAAAATGCTTTTAAAGTGAGATATAGCACTGTCACTGAAAATGCTTATACTGTAACTTGCTATTGCTTTACCAGGGTGATATCTTTACGTATTAAACTTTGCATCTTACCCCACTTCGCACAAATTTCGCTGATAAGAGAACTAGGATCATTTTTCTTTCTTCCGGTGTGATTAATTTGATTATGGCAAAGAACACGAGGGCTATCTGCATAATGGTAGGGATGCCTTTGTAGAAGACTTTCTAAGGAAAATTGGCTCATGTCTACGTTACACATGAGGAAACCACGAAAACTCGCTTGCAGTTAGCCTCTTCACCTGGAATCGAACCTATGGCTAACTTCCAGTGTTCAGCGACTTTACCGTCCAGATATCCCTGTGTGTTAATTATGTGGCATAGATTATGTGAAACCACCTTTGAAAAACATACGTTGCCAACTTGACTGTTTGTAACTCTAGATCCCGTTAATTATCCAAGGCGTATTTATTCAGATAATTTGTTCGTGAACCAAACTGTTCATTAAATGAGGCGTTCGTGATCTGATTTTCCGCTCTATCTAGATATATAAACGCAATGGATTAGCCTAAAATGAACAGATAGATTAAAAGCTTGTAAATCGAAAGGTGTTTGTTTTTACAGAAAGCATTTGATACATTTTACAGAGAAAAACTTCGTGTTACAAACGTCCTCCTTTAGTTTATTTCTTTAACGCCAACATCACGCGACCATTCTTCACGTAATTCGAACAATATGGCCATTAACGAGGTAGAAAAAGCTATTTTGTGATTAAATATGCAAAAAATTATTGTTTCTGTCATGCAGTGTCGTTTTAAAACACGATATAGATAAAATCTGTTTCGGCACTGGATTGGCCATTCAACAAACCCGAACATGACTCTGGCATGTTGGCCACCAAAACGTCACCGAGTGACTGTTTCTAGTGGGGAAATATCTAGGACCGGTATTTTGTTCCTCCCGTTCCTACAAGTTTGTACAATCTTAAAAAACAGCTATTGCGACGGTTGAAATGGACACGTTAAGACGTGTTGGAGAACAACATGACTATTGCACTGATAACTTCGTGTTAGACTAACTCTGTATAAACTTTGTAGCTTTATTAGATAACCTTTAACCGTCAAAGCTGCTAATTATTTCCGTTGATTCCGCTACTATTTGATACTAAGGGAATTTCATGCCGTCGGTGTTTTCAGGCTGAGAACAAAATTTTTATTTCTGAAAGCAAAAATTTTTAATGAATAATATCAGCAATATATTTACTTTCCAGAGAAGCTAAAGAGAAATCACTTGAAGAAACAATCAGTTCTGCATGAGCACAATATTATTACACGGGTATAAATAAATGTTACAGACGGTATATGACACTTTCTCCAGAAAGAAAATACAAGGTTTAGATAAAATTTTTGGCAACATGTCAATAGTTTTGAAAAGACTTTTATTGCATAAACATTTACAATCATTCATTATAATCGTCTGCCTTGGCTATCATCTTCTGCCGAAGTACTGGAAGGCTTCGTAAACATCAGCAGTTTACTTGTTGATACCCTGCAACGACCACACAAACGTACGGATAACTTCTACTGTAATGTAACACGGACTCATAGCGGTTGAATATGGCCAAAATCCAGTGATAGAATGTTTGGTATGGCACGTGCTCTAGTATTTTTCATCTCTACCGTCGTAGGAGATTCGTGACAACACTTATATTATTACACCACGTATGTCATGAAGATGATGGGATCTGCCGTCTGAGATCTGATGAGCACCACTCAGGAAAAAGCGACAGTACTTGTTGATGAATCCCTTCTTTCTCCATGATAATGCGCGATGTTATAATGCGATCTCCTGCGACGATGGCGATCGGAGGTTTAGGAACACCCACTATACTCATCTGTTATGAGTCCTCATGATCATTATGTCTTCGCCAAAAGCAAAGAATCACTGCCAGGGCATCAACAGAAGTGGGCATCATTTTGGGGCATCAACAGAAGTGAATATGCTGGTGGTGAACGGTGCATTCCAGTAATTTGGCAGAAGTTTTCCGACATGGCAACCGATCATATTGAGGAACTTATAAGCACTTGTACTACTATTAAGTATCGCTTGTACTACTATTAAGTATCGCAAGAAAGCTGAATTCATTATATCACAAAATCGACATGTTATCACCAGTCGATACTTAGAAGCAGTACAAGCAGAGTATTTATCCAGTTCTTCTAGAATCTGGAGAGAAAGGTATTTGGATATTATAGCTGGATATGAAGATAATTCGGAACATCAGCCTGAAACAGCATTTTATGCCTATAAACGGTATGCGAACTGGCAGAAACTTGCTAAAAGAAATAAGAAAGACAAATGTGGAAAGAAAATTCGCAAGATCACTATACATCTGAATCTCACATTTGAATGATTACTTACAAATGTTTACAAACTAAAGCGAAAAGGATTAGATAAATGCAGTTTTCATTAAAACAAGATCAGTCAGTATCAAACAAGTGTGTAACAAATCTTTATACTACATATTAATAGTTATTCTCAGAAAGTCGAAACTTAATACTTATCAGAACAACGGACAAAAATATTGGTATAATTAAAAACAATATTTAAGAAATATTAAAAGTTTGTATTTTTCAATAAACTTAATAACAGCTAACAGGTTCTTAATAACAGCTTTTAGAATGTTGTGTCAAAAGAATGCTTTCTTCCTGTATCTTCTAGCTCTTTTAAAAATGTTCAGCAAGGTTTATATTAGTATATTGGAATACTGATTATGGAGTGTATAATAAACTAGCTGTAGATGAAAGTACAAGCTTTCTGTTTCTAGCCATTCTTCTGCCAAAAGGCAAGTCACTAAAGAAATTCATTTTGTACTTCAGTTAAGATTTTTTTTAAGATTGTTTAAACGCATCATTTTATCGTTAATAAATACCAGGTTTTCGACAAAAGCAGCCATGACATGAGTCATTTACCATAAGCGAAACAATTTTGATAGGAAAAATATTTAAATATACTGTAAGAGACATTTTAATATTTGAAGGTTATTAAGCTGTGCAAACTTGATCACAGAACTAGAAATTATGCGATTAATTAACAAAATTATTTCATATGTAAATAGTTAAATGCAACTTCCGGTAGCTTATTTTATTTCCAGTATTCTTACATAATATATTTGAAAATGCTGTCTGTGCGAACTGTTTTGTTACTGCGCTGATGTTGAGTGTCGAAATGACAAACTTTCCAACCATAACATGACGACCCAAAGGATCAGGACAAAAATGCACTTTTGCGTCAAGCGTTGAGAAGCCATGTCCTTTTTACGCGGTAGCTGAAGCCACCGTATGTCCAGAGCCTCACAGACATCACAGATGAGAATTAAAGACAAAAATTGCAGCTTAAAATGAGTTTTTAAGACTTAAAATAATTACGCATTAATAAGGATTCTCAAACTTTACCTCGTTATTTTCTCGTTGGAGGAGCGCAGAGGTTCTGTAATATCATTCTGACTGTTCATATGATGTATATGGCTGTAAAATAATTCATACTAATGGAGAAACTTTTAGAAACCTTTCTTACTTCCATATCTGTTTCTCGCGCAAAGCAAGAATTGAATAATTAGTTAATAATTAATAAATTGAATAATTTGCAATGATAATAATATTTTTTTCCTTCTGAGCATACAAACAAATTACTCTGCACTTTCTCACAATCTGAAAGCATATGAAAGCAGAAGTAAACATTAAAAGGATTATGTTGTCTCTTAACCGGTTAATTCTCATCGTAAATATCTACGGGACCTTCCTACATTAAAATTATTTCATATCATATCAGATCACATTTCTGAATCTTTTGCGTCGATTAAGCACTGAAGTATGTTATATACTTCCGACTTCAATAATTTTTCTTTTTTTTCAGGAGTTGAAAAGCAACTAAACTGTCGTTTTTTTCACACACCATGGAGGTTGAGCTTTTTACTCAACTTCCATGGTGAGTAACCAGTTTCTGGCAACACACATTAAATTGCTTTCTTTTATTGTGAATTCTTAATACGCAACTTATAATCATAGTAATTTTTCATTTTATTTTATGCAGGTGAAAAAACTATGAAGATACGTAAACTATTGTGAATCATCCATTTTCTAGCTTCAGGATGCCTGGGAGTTTACTTCTTGCAAACGATACACGCTCAGAAATATCGGACACGTCTCAAAGGAGCTTAGACTCAAAATTGGCAAGTAAAAAAGTAAGTTTCAATAAAGCTGTTCGTGTTAAAAAATACCCATGGAGGCCAGAAACTGAAATTCAGGCTACAGAACCTCTAATTTTACCTAGTAACAGATTTTGGTTCAAAGTTTATAAAAGCAAGGAGACTTCTTTTCCTCTTCCTACGGAAGAATTACATGATACTTGGGAAGATGAAAACATGGAATGTATTCATGACACTCTTACTCCAATTGCTGAAGTAGATGACGTTGATCAAGAGATCAACCATTACCAGCCATATGTTGGAGATAAGTGGAATTATAAGAGTGAAAAGAATTATTTTCCTAGCAGCAGGTACGACGATATTTATAATCATCCAGTCGAACCACCTGTAGATTATTTTGATGACATGCATTTGAATAAAAATGAGTATGGAGATAAAGCAGGCTGGAATGGTAATAATGTTAATAATGAATCAAACATCATCAGCAATAATACTTACATGGATAGGTCCATCCTGTGGAATCAAAACAGGGAACAAGCGAATCATGAAATAGATACAGAGAATAACAAATTCGGGGAATATTCTGCTAATACATATACTAACAATAAAGATTCCTTCATAAGGAGCTTAAAATTACCTCGCATGACTCTAAAGCGTGAATGCCCAAACAAAACACCAGATACAAAGTGTAATGTAACAAACACTCTGAAATCAAGGGAAAGAAGATCGAGATCTCATGATGATCATACAGATACAGAAGAAAACTTTAAACAACTTAAAAAAGCCGATAAATCCGTCTCAACTGATGATCTTATTACTTATCGCAATCGAATCTCTTCTCCAAGTAGAATTTTTACAGCTAGTCGAGATATAGCAACTCAATGTTATGGAACATTAACACGAAGTAAAAATATACCTCCTATTTTAAGGAACGAGACAAATTTATTACTAGCGTCTGCAAGACGAGGGATTAATTCCTCAAACACGAATAGCGATATCATCAAAAACAGAAATCTAAAATCTGAAACTTCAGAAGCACATATATACAGTGACGGATTAAAAAGCAATACAACAGCTAAATATTTTCGAAAGGACAATCAGTTAAGTGACAATGTCAACAGTCTCTCGCATTCAAAGCAAGGCAGCCAAATTAGAAACACTTACGCTCCAAATGGCAACTATATTAAAGCAGGCATCAGAAGGTATGAGCCGCTGATGAATAATAAAGTGAACGTTGTCAATAATTCAAGACAAAGTGAAAATATTCCATGCGATTTTGTGCGCAAACCATCTATAAAAATAAATAAAGGAAACTTAAGAACAGAGTCGACTGCTGCTTTACGTAACGAGGCATGGAAAAACCGAGAAAACAGCCCCTGTCATGTCAATCAGCAGTCCACAAAGCTAGATTACATAAGAGGTCGCCAAATTCCTCTTACGGAAGTTAACACAAATATGAAAAAACCTGCCGAAATTAATGCTAATATTTTATCAGCTTCTAGAAATGGAATAAAAACAAGTAGTCCACCATATCATACTCATGATATCAAATCCAGTCCATCAACGAGTGATAAACAATATGTTAAGAAGGGTTTATCTTCTAGCACAGAAAACTATTTTGGCAGGAAAGTCAAGAATGGTGTAAGTTCACCTAAGAGCTGTATATCAAGTTACGACGACAGCGACCACTCAGTTATTGACTGGACGTTGTCAGGATTTCAATTAGGAACAAAGCTAGAGAATGGAGGAACTTCGATTTCGGATAGCGAATATACTGTTCATAGACGGCCACCTTTACTTATGTATATACCAGGAGTAAGTCATCATGACCGTCCTGCGGAAGAAGATGACAGATTGTCAGCTCTTAGCGAAATGTCACGCTCAGAGCTAAATGACGGATTAGGCTCTCTTGTTAGTACTTCAGCTAATGATAAAAGTTCAATGTACGACATAAGACGTCGTCACTCTATGCCCAGAGATGAAAAGCTGAAACGTATGAAATGGAAAAAGTAAAGGTTAACCAGAATTATTTGGATTCAATAGTTAAGAGAAAGTCAGATGAATTCATTTAATGTATTTACTCGAGATGTAGAGATCTCCTCAGGTTGTTTATTAGTAAACTTAATTTTTATAAATAATACTATGTAGAAGCAAATATATATTATTTTTTAAGCAACGATTTGAATGAAATTTTTATATTTCATTAATCTGCTGTAATTAATGATAATTGTATCCAAACAATTGAAATACTGAAATAAAAATTATCATAGCAGTTTTGGTTATTTCAACTGGTGTGCATCAAAAACGACATGTTATGAAATATCTTGGCCTGATTTTCTTAATTTATGTACAGAAACATGTAAAAATTTCCTTTATTAGCATCAAAAATGAAAATTTTAAACAGTTGAATGGAAGTTTTAGCAAGCAAATATAATATTAGCAAAGTTTAATAAACAATTGTCTAGAAAATTCGTGTGTCATCTCAGTTAAATTTAATGACAATTCTCGACTTCCATTATGCTAGCTAATGATGTCTGTACGGCCGTATATAATCGGATGACATTAATTTCTAATTCCGATAGAACAATTATAAAGCTGTTAACTTAATAATTTCGTAATATTTCAAACATTTTTACAACAATCGGTTAAAAAGTAGTGGCAGCACGTCACTACGTTTTAACCGTCACAGTCGATAGTTTTGGAAAGACGATATTGCCAAAAGTACAAACTCTGACAGTCCCTCGATAAAATTGCCTGCTATGTTTGTCATCTTCTGTCAGATTCCTGGAAAGCGTGGTACACCATCAGTACGTCCATTTCCTTTGATGTTGCACAGAGACTACCCTAAAACATGGATAAGCTCCTCTCTACAGTAATGGATCTACTGTTATGCTGTAACAGATTTCTAATGTGGCTTTTTCATTTTCGCGATCACACGAACTCATATTGGGTAATCATCCGGTAATTCCAGTATCTCCTCTCTTAACCGTCGTAGATCTTGACAGTGACTGCATAACAAAACCGAGCATTGTTATGGAGGATAGCGGGATTCCACACCTGAGACATGGTCTGCATCCAGCAGTCAAAAGAAAACGACGACACTTTTTGGTGACGAATCACGTCATTATAATGCAAGTGTTGTCAGGTATCTCTTGCGAAGATGGCAATGGGAGGTAATGAAGAAACGGCCATATTGGTCAGATATGAAACAGGGGTGATTATTATAATTTTGCCCCCCAAAAAACGTTGCAAGCGATTCATTACAACAGTAGACAGAAGTCTGTCCATGGTTTAGGGAGTTTGCTACGAAACATCAATAGAAGTGTGTAGAGACATTAGGTATATTTTTGGAAGCAAGCAAGATGAAAAATGAGCAACGCCTTCTCAGGGAATCGAACCACGGACTTCTGGAATATGCGCCAGCGTGTAGAACACCACACCACGAAGGCATGCCAAGAAGGCGGGAGAAATACCTTATAAGTGGGCGTGCTAATGGTATAAGACACCCTCTAGTAGTTTGGCAGAAGACGGTAGAAGGCGATTATATCGAGAGATTGTAAGTGTCTATGCCTATTGTAATAAAGTCTATTCAGAACTATCAATATGTTTCCTCTATTTTTTATCCACCCTTATAATTTCAGCTCCTCTGATAACATTAAAAAATAAAAAGCAAATGAAAGACAAGAATATTATTAATGCTTTCTCAAAAAAAAAATTAACTTATGTCTCTAGCTGGTGAAACCAAAAAGTTGCTAAACTGTTTTACTGATAACATCAGTTCTCATAATAATACGGCATTTAAGGAAATAAGTGATTTTGATATTTATAGTTCCTAGTCCACAATGCTCCACAAACTGCAGATTATACCTCAGTATGCCACATCATAATATTAATTTTTAATGCTCAATTTATGAAAGTTTATACAAAACATAAGGTTTATTTACAGAAACAAGTTTTGAATTTCCAGTTCCATTATTATCAAGCTTAGATGCCACATTTGTTTTATGTAATTAAATTACCTACAGACTAATATATATAAGGTTCATCATTTAAGTATTTTAAACTTATAACCTAAATACCTCAAGTGGAATCCTGAGATTCATAAGTTCACTGTCAGAAAATAATCAAATAAAATCGTCTTTCAGACTATCGTAGTTTTGATCGCTTTTTAAGATTTATTTGTGTTTTACAGAACAAGCTTCAGCCCCACCAGTGGCTTAGTGATTAAGGCCGCTAGATATTGGCAGTTCAACCTAGCTTGGTTTCGAACCCAAGCGAATGGACTGGTTGCATGGTTGGTTTTCGTGTTTTTCCCGTGTGTAATGTGAATACCAGCCAGTTTCCCTCAGAAAGCTCTTCACGAAGACATCCACTCTTAAGCAGCTCGCTCTCGTGGTTTTGCCATATTAATGTAACTTAACCAAGCAAAGCAAGCTTCAGAGTTAATAGTTGCTTATTCTGTTTTAAAGAGCTTTTTATTGATGCATATATGTAAAACTGATCATGATAACTCTTAAAATTATAGCTTTTCTCTATGAAAAGAAATGGAATGAATGTCTTTTCAAATGTCACATAAAAACTACCGTACAACTCCAATTATCCGAACTCCAACTATTCGAATCACTGATTATCCGAATCGCTTTCAGAATTTAAGAAAAAGAGAGAGGGAACAGCCAAAAAGATGAGGATGACGTCTCGCTTGAGGAATTAAGAACCATTCTTTTGAAAATTCCTGGATGTTCAGAAGTTAATGCTGGGGATACAACAGAATGGATGGTGTGTGATTCGTCAGACACTGGGTTTCAAATTCTAAATGATGATGAATTTATTAAGAGTGTGATTCTCTCACACTCTTATATAGTGTCGAGGAAGAAGATGACCTTAATGTCGATGCTGAAGCAGACACGGGACCATCACCTGGTGAAGCGTTTGCTGGCCTCGAAACTGCGTTGAAGTGGATGGATCGTCAGCCCGAGTGTCACCACATGCAACTTCTCATTGTCAAGCGGATGCACGACTTGGCTGCCGGAAAACGGATGAAGACAGTCAAACAGTCTACTTTGACCGAGATGTTCAGCAAGCAATGACTTTCGACATTTGTAAGCACTGTACATTACGCTATCTAACATGTAAGTAATAGCGTTGCCTTTTCATTTTAATTAATTAAAACCTTTTTTTCTCCCATTTTCAACATACAGTACGTACAGTAATTAATTAAAGTGTACGTAGACCTTTTCTTCGGAAAAAGTCCAATTATACGAATGTGGTCCAGTCTCAAATGATTCGGATAATTGGAGTTCTACTGTACTCCCTTTCATTACGTAACAATGTACAATTTCAGAGTATCTACTAAAAGAAACTTGAAGTATATGCTTCTATATTATTCTTCCTATAATGAGAGTTTTTTAAAATTATTTTTAGGCGCGGGCACTAGCCGTTTTAGGCTTTTGCCACTACACGGCAGAAGCGGTGGCCGTTTTATTATAGAGGTACCTAGTAGGCGGCCATCCTTATCTCCTATAAAGGGACAATTGGTATCACAGCAGGCTCCCCTATCCACTATACCGTCTGAGCATCTTAATGCAGAAATATAATTTAAGAAATTTCATTCGAAAACTTAAATGCGAAACGTCTTTATACGCCTTTTAGCAATATTTATATATGGTCACCCATATCTTGATTGGAATATGGCAAAGCATACGAGGACTATCTGTCTAAGGCGATGGATGGCTTTGTCAGGGACCTTCTAAGAGTACCTGGCTTGTATTCACATTACACATGGGGGAAACTATGAAAGCTAACCATATAGCCAACCCGTTCTCCTGAAATCGAACTTAATCAGTCACTCAAGCAATATTTAGTAAGGCAATCCTTTAAAATTAAAAGTGTCACATATTAGTCCATTTATTTATTGACGATAACTAATCATTATTCCATATTAAAGTAAAAGTAATTTTATGAAATTCGATTAATGTAGGTGCTTAAATATTTATAACGGGAAAAAAAGTTCACCTTTTTTTTATATATAATTTATCGTTGTAAGCCCATAAAAGTATATTAAATGTTTCTTGAATAGACTTAAATAATTCTCTTTTGCATGCTAAATAATTCATTTATTGTTCTCGTTCTGTTCTTACTCTTACTTACGATATATAAATTGCAAGCTATGATATGCGTTATTATTAATACTTCTGTTTTTTCATTTCTTTAAAGTTGTGTAAGAATGGACTTGTTTTCATCAATTAAAACAGCAGTAGTAAGAGCTAAAAAAGTAGAAAGAGACTTAAATTTATGAAGCTAATTTTTTATTCTTTTTATATTAAACGGATATTAGCAACATGAATGCAATATTCTGTCTAAGAAAGTTCTAAGTATATGTAAAAATAACGTATTTTACAGATTTTCATTGCATAGATCTAAAGACAGTTACCTGAAGATGTGAAAAGGGAAAATATGTGTTTATAATAAATAACGTAGAGCATAAAATGTAGCCTACTTTACATAGTAAACATCAGTTATAAGTTTTTTTTTTCCCTTTAATGCCGCGCACAAGCCAAGATAGGCTTTGGCCACTACTAAAGCCAGAAACGGTGGTAATTTTATTATGAAGGCACCTAATAAAGAGCCACCGTTACCTCCTATGAATGAACAGACAATTTATAACCGTGCCTTCTTCAAGTTTCGAACCCGGGCCGGATGCAAGAATATAAAATAATTTTTAATTGCTAATGGAGTCTACAGTAATTTTATACATAATATACGTAGCATATACAATCAGCATATCATATACAATCAGCGTACGTAAGCATATACAATCAGCATTGTGATCAGATAAGAACACCAAAGAACATTTACTTTCTGATTTTAGCCCTTAGTCTACGTAAAAAAGGAGGGGCACAGATGAATGTATAAAATTAGCTACACTGAGAAAACAGTTTGTCAAAATTTACTATTACTACCTCGCTGTTCCTCATTGTTTCACAAACATTCAATAAACATATGTTTATGATAACATTTTAAGCACACAATACGTTTAAGAGATATTTATTATAAAAGTAATTAGCGTAAAAGATAACAAACTATTGTCTATGTTTTCTTAACTATCTTGAGAAATTCTACTACTGTATAAAGCATTTTAATGGGATAACTTAGGAAGTCAGTGAAAACATAATTAACTTACTTTATACGATAAATATTTTAAACGTAATAAAATTTCTTCTTTATGTATATATTCAAGTAAGAAATTGTTAAAAATGTTCAAACATTTGGCCA